AAAAGATAATGTAAGGGAAATGCTTCAAGACATCAGTCTGGGAAAAATAATTTATGGAGAATATTTCTAAAGCATAAGCAACAAAAGCAAAAATGGACAAATGGAACTACATCGAACTAAACAGTTTCTTCACAGCAAAGGAACCAATCATCAAAGGGAAGAGGTGACTTGCAGAATGGGACAAAATATTTACAACTATTCATCTAAGAAGGAATTAGTATCCAGAATATAAAAGAAACTTAACTCCATAGCAAAAAACAAAAGCACTCAATTAACAAATGGGCAAATGAACTGAATAGACAGTTCTCAGAAGAAGACATGCAAATGGCCAACAGGTATATGAAAAAATGTTCCATGCGAATCATCAGGGAAATGTTAATCAAAACCATCATGAGATATAATCTCACTCCAGTTATGTTCTCAGAAGAAGACATGCAAATGGCCAACAGGTATATGAAAAAATGTTCAATGCGAATCATCAGGGAAATGTTAATCAAAACCATCATGAGATATAATCTCACTCCAGTTATCATGGCTATTACCAAAAAGATAAAAAACAACGAATTCTGGTAAGGATTTGAAGAAAAGGAAACTCTTATACACTGTTGATGGGAATGTAAATTAGTATAGCCACATGGAAAACAGTGTGGAGTTTCCTCAAAAAACTAAAAATAGAACTAAATATGATGCAGCAATTCCATTAATGGGTATTTGTCCAAAGGGAAGAACGTGCAAAGTTGAAAAGGCTAACCATACTAAGGAATTCTCTTTATACTACTGCTATGAATGTCAAATGGAAAACCCTTTGGAAAACAATTTTACAATTTCTTAAAACACTAAGAATATATATCCAGTTATTCCACTACTAGGATTTTACCCAAAGGAAATACAAGCATACATTAATACAAACACTTGTTCATAAATATATATAGCAGCTTTATCTGCAATACTCCAAAACTTGAAATAGAACAAACGTGCAATAACAAGTGAATCAATGTACAAATGGTTGTACAGCCATCAATGAAATACTACATCAGTGAAATGCCCCAGAGCTTGCTGCTCTTACCGAGTCAGCTGTTTTTCTTGAATATGTTCCCTGGGTTTGGCAAGCCTTTGGTAAATTTCCGTATTTGTGAAAATTTGATCCTAACCATTTTTGCCAGTTTTTTGTTTGTTTGTTTGTTTGTTTGTTTTGTTTTGTTTTATCAAGAAGCAAGTTTTTAGAGGTTTTTACTCCTCTTTCTTCTTTGATGTTACTCCAGAAATAGATTTTTAAAGTGTCTTTTAATTCCTCAGCTCTCCTCAACACAATTAGAGACTAGTCACTTTTTACTCTATTGACTTCAAGCAATCTATGTTTTCTATGTACATATCCATAACCATGTGTTCAAATTATTCTGGATAGTCAAATATGAATATTTCTATAAGATTAGCAACTTGAGGTAACATTTTCATTCATTTTAGATGATATACTTATTTATTCAAACTGTTATAAACAATTTAATCGTATTATTTTTTGTAGAGCCTGATATAAAGCTCATTACATTAATATTTTAAATAATAAATTAATTAACCTTTCACAATCTCTCTATGGTAATTAAAGAAGAAATTTATTGTAAAATGTTATTTTTGAGAACAGTCGGGTATATTTCAGGATGGAAGTGTTCCAGTTAAAAATGAGTAAAAATGATATATGTAATAAATATGAGCTAAAGGGTTTAAGTACTTACTGCAGTGTAATGTAGGTCTGCTTCTCTAGACCTATGAGCATTGACTGTAATGTGCATTGACTTTAATGCATTAAGAGAATTATCACAACATAATTTTGCTCCCACTAAGTATCACTGCTTAACAGCAAAACCATTGTCCCCCCTTCTAGGCTTTTCAATAAACAGTTATCAATGGAAGCTAAATTTAAGTGTGTTCACGGTATAAATGAACCTGATTTAAATCTTAATAGAAAAACAGATGGATATGTCTCAGGTGCACAGAGAGAATGTAAAATTTATTATTCCTAACAAAAAAAGTGAACTGGGAGATACACTAGTTTAATTTCAAGTGAAGACAATAATTACATTTATTTAATTGGTTAACTGATTTTAATTTTAATATACAATTTTTATTTCAGTTTTGAAGTTCTATTTGGTTCTTTTGCAAATACACATTTTAATACTATGCCCTGTTCTTGTCTTATAATTTCTATTGCTTTATTTTCAAAAAAATTGCTGATTAAAAATATGTGGGGATTTATCTTCAATCTGTAGATGGTGATTTTCCTCATAATGGTGTATCTCCTCATACGGTGTATGATTTTGTACTCAAAATTCATCTTCAGTGAGAATGGTTTTACTGAAAGCCTCCTGCATCCTGGACTGAAGAAGAGTCCCTGTGGATAGTAGTGGCTTTTTCCAGCTGTTTTAGGTTTTGCTTTTGTTTTAATTTCTCAGGATGGGGTCATGGAATCACCTAGGTAGCACAAATTCAAAACCACATCTCACAGTAAACAGAGGGCTTCTGATCCAATGTATCTTGTGTGACTACTTTTTTTCCCCCTTTTTTGGTACCTAGAACATCAAGAATGTAAGGGGACTGTTCAGTGCACAAGGGTACTTCAAAACATTCGTGGAAAGATCAATGTTAACTTTCAATTTTATTTTTCCACAAACGTTTTGGAGTACACTCATATATCTACTTATGAGTATTTTAACATATTCATGAATTGTTTAATAAAAATCATATGTATAAATATATGCATACACACACACACAAATGCATCTAATATGAGTTCCAGAACTCCACATGAAAATCAAAATAGAAAGAAATTTGAGATGAAAGCAACTCGATGTGGTTTGTCCAAGACCAGAGTCCTGTTTGAATGCTAACTCTAGATCAAAAATAGAATTATACATGTTTTTAAATTTCAATTCCTTAAACTGGCTTAGATTTTATTAAAAAGGTAATGTACGCTAGCTTCCTAATGCTCTGTTATCATACTATGCAGGTGAGTTTTCCTATTTTGCATATATATGAATGTTGAACTATAAACTAGTCCTATTTCCTGAAATTCTTCATTTATATGATGGAAAGTAGTAAGGGAAAAATCTATTAACTTTGTATTTAGGTTTTTAAAATGCCAGGAAGAATTTGTTATTTTTAAAATTTTGAGATGCTAAGAGGTTTGAAATAAAATCTGAAATAATTTCAGATCATGTAATTTTAAATTACATAATTTCTGATTTGAAGTAATTATATAATTAATAATATTAAAATGTAAGTAAACAACAAACCATAAATACTAATGCATATCAATGCTTATTCTAGATGTGTCAAAATATTTTATATAGAAAGAGTATTAGAATATTAAACAGTTTTTATTTTATATAAGATTTTTTTTTTCAGATTCTCATTTATCTCACTCAGTATTATTCTAAACCTGGATAAAACAAGTGGCAAGCAGCACTGCCAATCATCAAGCTGACCAGGTAGGAAGAGTTAAGTGGAGTTGTCATTATAGGTTAGGAATAACTGTGGGGTTACCAGGGCTATGAAACACTCATAGTAACATAAATTACACTAAATATTAATATTGCATGTGTTGAGGTAAGAAAGGGCAAGGAAGAGTGAAAACATGAATATTAGAGTTATTTCTAAATGAAAAAAACATTCACCACTTTTATTTTTGGCAAGAATTCACAAAACCAATAGATTTCCATTTTTATATGTTTGACTATAAGAAAGCCATGTCTACTGATGGGTATTACAACCTTCCTCCATGGCTGATGCCTTCTTCTGTTTAGAAAATTATTTCTCATTAATGACATTTCCCTTACTGGAGCCCTGTGCCGTAGTAAAACTGTAATTCTCAAGATGTCACCTGTGTACCACCTGGGACCATGCGAACTACAAAGGTAGTTTCCCAGGTTTCATCACAGAGGTAGTGAATCACAGGTCACATGAGGGCCTCAAATACAACTACACCTTGCTGCAGAATGTGGCAAGACACATACATCTCTCCAACCTTAGCATCTATCCAAAAAATCGACTTGGCTCAGGGGCGAGGACTCAATGTAGGAGGGGATACCCAGGGCTGAAAAGACAGTTCAGAGCATTGTGGATACACTGAACTCTCCAAAGATGTTCTCAGGAGTGTTTTAGTTACACCCGGCTTTGCAGGATAGCCTGTGCTAGCAGAGTCATTAACCAGAAAATTTCTACAAAACATAAATTCTGTATTCCAAAAAATATATATAAAAATTTAGGAACATTAATAATAATAATAGCATATATTGACAACTTTACGTTTTATCATTTAATTCTCAGAAATAAACTTAAATAATAGTTCCACTCATACAAATGTTACAGATACAAGAACTGAAATTAGACAAGAAAAGTAACTTACACTTTACAGGTTGAAGAACAGTTAAAAAGTTTTCACCATTATTTATGATTTATGTACCATTTATAAATAGCTATCTTAGTCACATTTTCATGAATAGTTGGTTGCAAGTCAAAGTTGATGTCAAGAGTAAAAATTTTATGAAACTTTGATTACAGATATTATTTTTATTCTATGTACTAATCTAGACACATTTGAAGTACTTTAACTCATAGTTAAGGGACATGTGAATATCCCTTAAACTATGAGATCAATTAAAAGTAGGTATCCAAAAAGTTCAGATATATTAAAATCATCTTATGTAAACAGCACTCCAAGTCCTTCAAAACTATTTTCAAATAAATAGAATTATTTGTCAAAAAATAGTTTTTGCCTAAGTTTATTTAGATACAAGTTTTTAAAAACTACTTTTGAATTTGATTAGAAAAAGATACATTAGAAAATATAAAATAAATCTCTTAAATACATATTTTTCTTGAAGATAGCAAACTATAACCAACTATTTCTGCATAAAAATTAGATGACATCAAGAATATGTATCTTTTACAATAGACAAAATTAAGGAAATACATGATTCAGATTTCCAATTATTTCTTGATCTTACCTGCTGGTTTACAGGAAAGTTTCTGTTAATTTTTTTAATCTGCAATGATAAATAAATAATAAAAGTCAGAATCACAAGGATAAGGTAACGCAAGGTTCCCAAAATTTTATGAGGATCTATTTTTAGTTAGTTAATATCTATTGATATTCTATCTTGACAAGCTAAAATCATTGCATTTCAAACTCCAACTATGAAAGCTTTTTTCTTTTCTTTTTAAAATTGGGTATCAAAAGTATCCCAAATTTTATATGCAAACATTTTGAAAAAGATTTCCATTTAATGATTTTTTAATTTACGTGAAACCAAAATCTGTGTTTCCATACAATGTTAAGTGTTTATCAATCAAGATTTTAGAAAGTAACTTTAGATCATTTATTTTTGCACTTTGGAATCATACTACATCCAATTTGTTTTAACCTTAGGAGAACAGACGAAATCAAACATTCAAACACTAGAGGATAAAGTGTGCATGTTGAAGTTTTTTCAGTCAGGACCCCACATAAAGTATAACATTTACTTAAAGATAATTTAATGAATGACATTTTATAAAAATTTAAAGTAAATCTTCAGAGAAAGCATTTCCTCTGAAGTATGCCATGGAAACAAACTTTAAAAATCACATGAAAATGAATATCGGGTTTAGGTAAATTACCTTACACTGCACAGAGTCTTTGCACAAAGTGCTATTGCCAATTAAAACCAATCATTATTTTCCATTGGTTTTAAAGAGAAGCTTAAACAATGCAAATTCTATGTGGTATAAACTTACATCAGCCTAAATATAGACTGTTTTTACTTATAAATTATTTTACAGACTGATTTTATTTTTCCGTTTTTCAGTTCCCTTTGGTCCTAACAGATAAATGTGAAATAANGACTGATTTTATTTTTCCGTTTTTCAGTTCCCTTTGGTCCTAACAGATAAATGTGAAATAACAGGCAATTTAATGGAGACAACACACAAAGTTGGAGAATCATCAAATGGCTCATCTGCAAGAACAGAATTACTGGAAAGACAGTTCTTGTTTAAAAGTAAAAATAAAGTAAAATTTGAAAACATCTACATGACTTGAGCAAGCTTATGTATAGAAACCATATTCTTTTTGCATAGTCATTTCAAAATTGTTTTTTCCTCTGGTGAGGAATTAGCTAAGGAAATCTCTAAAACTACTAGTTCCTTCAGCTGAAATCAAGACAGCCTGAAAATGTAGATGGAAAGAGCTAACCCCCAAATATCTTTTATTAATCAAAAAAAAAAATCTATACCAAATACTTTATGGAACTATGCTTTTTGCTACTACCCATGAAGTGTTACAAAGAATTATAAAATTCAACCAATATTTTATGTGGATCCTTTTAATCAAGAGTGTACTATCTAGCTTTGTAACTGTTGCTTTTCTTTATCTGAAAAAGTCTGAATACTCTTTTATGGAAATTTGAAAATTGGCAGTGTAGAAGAGCATTGCATGATAGAAAGGAGAGGTCAAGAGAACCGCATTTTAATCACAGAAATCTTGTTCTACTAACCCACCCTCAGTAATGTTTGTGGAATCAAGGTGTTCTCTCCAGCTGTGGTCTACTTTCTCTCTCCAATAGAGTATTTCCTAGATTATTTACACAGGTAATTTACCCATATAGAGTTTTTACATTGTATTTCTTTTTTTTTTTTTTTTCCTCTTTGTCTTTTTTACTGACCGGTAACAGTATCGCAACCCTCGATGTCGCACCCGTACCGGAGACCAGCATCGGGATCACAACCCTCGGTGTTGCGCCTGCACCACGCTCAGCCAGTGAGCGGGAACCGGTCTCCACATGGGATCCGAACCCACGGCGGGAGCGCCACCGTGCTCCCAAGCAGTGCACTCTCCAGTGCGCCACCGGGCCGGCCCTACATTGTGTTTCTTATTGCTGTTTTTGTTTTGTTCCAGTTTTTCTTAGTACTTACCTGTCTCATCTTGTAGGGGATAACTTAGTAACCAGCATATGACCCTTATCTTTATCCTTTAAATAGTATACTATATATCATTACAACTATTAAGAGAATAAAATTTATGGCATATTTCCCATGCTCCTCAAGAATCTAGAATCAACTTAAATGAACAAAAATCAGAATATAAAGAAAGATAAAGAAATAATGTGTTAATGACTAGAGAGTTAGAATGACAAAGCAAAATATGAGATATGCCAACAAATATAATAGAATCTTATGATAATAATAATGATTAGCATATAAAAAGATATGTTAGGAAAATCATCAAAAAGCCTTTAGAAATTATTTCTAGATTGCTTTTTAAATATAATAATAACATAATAAAATGGAATAAAGCATAATGTTGTCAATTATTAAAGTAATATTCTTTAAATTGGAAATACTAATAAATTGTGTTCCTCTTATTCAAACGATGTCATCATGACCTTTCTTTATTATTTTTTTTTTTTTGTCTTTTTTCATGACCAGTAAGGGGATCGCAACCCCTGGTGTGGCGTCGGCCGCACCGCGCTCAGCCAGTGAGTGCACCAGTCATTCCTATATAGGATCCGAACCTGCGGCAGAAGCACAGCTGCGCTCCCAGTGCCGCACTTTCCCGAGTGAGCCACGGGGTCGGCCCCATCATGACCTTTCTACTTCACGTATTGCTTCTTTATAACTTAATACCATATATTTGAACAATTTATTTTATCCCAGGAATCTGATTAAAAATACTCAGATAGAATGAGTTAATACTTAAAAACTGCTACCTGTAGTATAATAAATTTATTTGGCAATGGAATGTTTTTNCATGTTTTAAACTTAAATTTTTAAACTTAAATAACCATATTAGTCCATTTCTGTTGCTTATTTTGTGAAATACATGGAACTGGGTAATACGTAAGAACGTTAAATTTATTGCTTCCAGTTTGGGAGGCTGGCAAGTCCAATGTCCATGGAACACGTGGAAAAGACCTTGGTGGTTGCGACAGTGACCCACAGGTATCACATGGTGGAAATGGTGGAGTAGAGAGAGAGAACTTCTCACGTGCTCTCCTTTAAAGCCCTCAGAGCCACACCCCTGACCACCATTTTTAATCCACTCACTATCGCATGGTCCTACAACTTAATCTCTTCAAGACCTCCCCTTTCAAATACCATAATAGGATTTCCCACCCTCAACAGTTAGAGTGGGAATTAAGCTTGTAGTCTATGAAATTTGGGGGACACAATTAATCAACCCACAGCAATAACCAAACTATGCATCATGCATAAGTGGAAGGCGAATGATGGCAATGTGGACCATGATGCCCTGGCACAGGAAATTGTTACCCTCTGTCCTCACTTTAGCAGCAAGCGAAGTAAATACATTCTACTCAGGTTTTTCTTGTGAAGTTGTAGGTACAAAACAACTTTTTGTTAAGATTTTAAATCTATACACACATCCAAATTTATTTTATTTATTTGTTTGTTTGTTTGTTATTGGTTATGAATATTCATGAATACAAAGCTGACTGTCTCCCCTTGTGCCCATGATGTGGGGGCCAGATTCACACAAGCTGTATACCCATTACCACAAATTGCATTTGTGCCCTGTGTCCTCCACCTAATTATCCCCAACCTCCTGCCCCCTTCCCCTCCCACTCAACTTTGTAGCCCAAGGAATGTTCTCTCCCTCTGCAAGTCAAACACACTACTGTGGTCTTTCTTTCTTTCCTTCCTTCTTAGCTCCCACATATGAGTGAGTACATGTGGTATTTATCTCTCTGTGTTTTGCTTATTTCACTCAACGTAAGTTTCTCTAGGTTCATCCATGTTGTTGCAAATGGGAGAATTTCATTCTTTGTTATGGCAGAGTAGTATTCCATGGTGTATATATACCACAGTTTCCTTATCCACCTGTGTCCTCCACCTAATTATCCCCAACCTCCTGCCCCCTTCCCCTCCCACTCAACTTTGTAGCCCAAGGAATGTTCTCTCCCTCTGCAAGTCAAACACACTACTGTGGTCTTTCTTTCCTGCCTTCCTTTCTCTCTTAGCTCCCACATATGAGTGAGCACATGCGCTATTTATCCCTCTGTGCTTTGCTTATTTCACTCAACGTAAGTTTCTCCAGGCTCATCCATGTTGTTGCAGATGGGAGTATTTCATTCTTTTTTAAGGCAGAGAAGTATTCCATGGTGTATATATACCACAGTTTCCTTATCCAATCATCCATCGATGGACATTTAGGTTGGTTCCAAGTCTTGGCTACTGTCAACAGAGCTGCAATGAATATGTGCATGCAGGTATCCCTTCAACATGATGATTTCCATTCCTCTGGATATATACCCAGAAGAGATTGCTGGATAGTACGGAAAATCTATCTGTACCTATTTGAGAAACCTCCATACTGTTTTCCACAGTGGTTGTACTAATTTACAGTCCCACAAAAGGTGTAGGAGTGTTCCCTTCTCTCCACACCCTTGCCAACTTTTGTTATTCACCATCTTTTAGATTACAGCCAGTCTACCTGTGGTGAGGTGGTATCTCAATGTAGTTTTAATTTGCATTTCCCTGATGAAGGATAATTTCAATCTTTCCAACAGTGAGTGGAGTAGAACATTATAAAAGATTCCATTTTCTGGCTACAATACTAACATTTTTAAATTAAACAATAATTAAACATAGAAAAAATATAAAAACCTCACATCTCAAAAGTGTTGAGCTAATTCTCAACATGCTAGTNGCCACGGGGTCGGCCCCATCATGACCTTTCTACTTCACGTATTGCTTCTTTATAATTTAATACCATATATTTGAACAATTTATTTTATCCAAGGAATCTGATTAAAAATACTCAGATAGAATGAGTTAATACTTAAAAACTGCTACCTGTAGTATAATAAATTTATTTGGCAATGGAATGTTTTTGTTTTTTTTTTAAGTTGATTTCTACTAAAACCTATAACTTTTTAATCGTGTATTGGGGTAAAATAATCTGCTTATATTTATTCATGTTTTAAACTTAAATTTTTAAACTTAAATAACCATATTAGTCCATTTCTGTTGCTTATCACAAAATACATGGAACTGGGTAATATGTAAGAACGTTAAATTTATTGCTTCCAGTTTGGGAGGCTGGCAAGTCCAATGTCCATGGAACACGTGGAAAAGACCTTGGTTGCGACAGTGACCCATGGGTATCACATGGTGGAAATGGTGGAGTAGAGAGAGAGAACTTCTCATGTGCTCTCCTTTAAAGCCCTCAGAGCCACACCCCTGACCACCATTTTTAATCCACTCACTACCGCATGGTCCTACAACTTAATCTCTTCAAGACCTCCTCTTTCAAATATCATAATAGGATTTCCCACCCTCAACAGTTAGAGTGGGAATTAAGCTTGTAGTCTATGAAATTTGGGGGACACAATTAATCACCCCACAGCAATAACCAAGCTATGCATCATGCATAAGTGGAAGGCGAATGATGGCAATGTGGACCATGATGCCCTGGCACAGGAAATTGTCACCCTCTGTCCTCACTTTAGCAGCAAGCAAAGTAAATACATTGTACTCAGGTTTTTCTTGTGAAGTTGTAGATACAAAACAGCTTTTTGTTAACATTTTAAATCTATACACACATCCAAATTTATTTTATTTGTTTGTTTGTTTGTTTGTTATTGGTTATGAATATTCATGAATACAAAGCTGACTGTCACCCCTTGTGCCCATGATGTGGGGGCCAGATTCATACTGGCTGTATACCCATTACCACAAATTGCATTTGTGCCCTGTGTCCTCCACCTAATTATCCCCAACCTCCTACCCCCTTCCCCTCCCACTCCACTTTGTAGCCCAAGGAATGTTCTCTCCCTCTGCAAGTCAAACACACTACTGTGGTCTTTCTTTCCTGCCTTCCTTTCTCTCTTAGCTCCCACATATGAGTGAGCACATGCGCTATTTATCCCTCAGTGCTTTGCTTATTTCACTCAACGTAAGTTTCTCTAGGCTCATCCATGTTGTTGCAGATGGGAGTATTTCATTCATTTTAAGGCAGAGAAGTATTCCATGGTGTATATATACCACAGTTTCCTTATCCAATCATCCATCGATGGACATTTAGGTTGGTTCCATATCTTGGCTATTGTCAACAGAGCTGCAACGAATATGTGCATGCAGGTATCCCTTCAACATGATGATTTCCATTCCTCTGGATATATACCCAGAAGAGATTGCTGGATAGTACGGAAGATCTATCTGTAGCTGTTTGAGAAACCTCCATACTGTTTTCCATAGCGGTTGTACTAATTTACAGTCCCACAAAAGGTGTAGGAGTGCTCCCTTCTCTCCACACCCTTGCCAACTTTTGTTATTCACCATCTTTTAGATTACAGCCAGTCTAACTGTGGTGAGGTGGTATCTCAATGTAGTTTTAATTTGCATTTCCCTGATGAAGGATAATTTCAATCTTTCCAACAGTGAGTGGAGTAGAACATTATAAATGATTCCATTTTCTGGCTACAATACTAACATTTTAAAATTAAACAATAATTAAATATAGAAAAAATATAAAAACCTCACATCTCAAAAGTGTTGAGCTAATTCTCAACATGCTAGTAGTTTTACACACACATAGTAAAAATTGAGTGAAAGTCTTACTGCTGTTAAAACTTACATGCAGCGTATATTGAATTGTCATGCTAAACAATAATCAGTATTTTCAGAACATTAGAATACTGTGCAGTCATTACAAATACTCATGGTGCTGCTTATTTATTGGTAAGAAATTATGTTTATAAAATGTTCCCATTTAAAGATAATGTCTTGAGCAATTACTTTATTAAATTTATACACACACACACATGCACACACACACACACACGCACATATATTGGTAATATTCCATACTCTATGTATATGTTTAGATTAATGTCTCTAAGCAAAATCCAAATTTATTTTTCTGTGTCAAACACACATATGTAAATAGACATGTGTGTACAACA